TCTCCCTCCCTCCCTCCCTCCCTCCCTCCCTCCCTTCCTTCCTTCTTCCCTCCCTGCCTCTTCCTCTCTTTTCTTTCCTCCCTCTGTCTCTCTGTCTCTGTCTGTCTGTCTGTCTGTCTGTCTGTCTGTCTCTCTCTCTCTGTCTCTCTCTCTGTCTCTCTGTCTCTCTCTCTCTGTCTCTCTGTCTCTGTCTCTGTCTCTCTCTCTCTCTCTCTCTCTCTCTCTCACACACACACACACACACACACACAAGAAACTCCAGAGCACTTCTCAGAAAGCATTTGTGCAGGTGACAGCGCGAACATCGTGAAGTAGAGACACTTTTGAAAGTTCAAGCTTCCTCAGGAGTGCTGTTCCACCCACCAGTAGCATTTGGAGCCTGTTCTGTAACTCTACCTATTTGGATGTCTTTCAAACGTGCACCTCTCAGCATGAGTAGTTGGAATCTGTAACTGGATAGGGCACATTTTAATCCTCAGCTAAGTTTCGAAGAGGAGCAAGTTGAGGGGCAAAGCAGAGTGCGGCTGAGAGCACCTGGCTACTTACCTGCTTCATCTCATTGTTGAAGTACATGTAAGTCACGGCCACAGACAGGGCTTGCAGGAGCATCTGCAAGAGCACCGTGCAGATCAGCATCCTCCTGAAGTGCTGACCAATGCTGGGGTCCTTCAGGGTCCTCGTGGAGGCCATGGTCCTGTCTGGGTCTGTTCCCCTGAGCGGCTGTGCAACCCAGCTACTGCAAAACCAACTACCTGTAGTTTCTTTTCTTTGTGGCATACAAAACTGAAAGTGAGTTTGCTGGGCGCAGAGCAAGTCGGGACAGATTGTATCTGTTAGGAAGTAGCACATTCACAAATCTCCCAGCTCCCTCCCCAACATCTGTGACCCTGAGTCTGGCACAGGCACAGTTTCTGGCAACAGAGTCAATTCGTATGCAACATCTTTCAGGCGGATATCCCATCGTGGGGAGCCAAAGGGGGTCCACTTGTGACGCGATTCAAATTCTCTCTGGTCTGAAGATGCTGGCTGCCTGCCTCACAGAGTTTCCTTTGGTGGTTACTTAACTACAAAGCCGTCACTCCCAGGCCAGATGGGGCCGTCAGGGGTAAGCCACCTCTGTGACTTGGGTTTCAGGCAAAACCCGGAGGTGCTCAGTCTACCTGGAGTCTGTCTCTGTCCTTCCCTCCTAGTGCCGCTCTGCCAGACTAAGGACTTTGGTCCCAGGCTTTGATACTGTGGAGTGTTTCCAGGAGGATGAAATGAATAATTCATGACTGGCTCTCAGGAGCTGACCAGTAAATACAGACAAGAGGGCGGGAGCCACAGCCTGCTCACAGAGCTAAGATTTGATGGGCAGTAGGTATGGAACTCCAAAAGAAAAAGAAGTGCGTCTGAGTGAAAGAGAGGAGCTTCCCTGTCCTGCCAGGTCCTCCCTTATCCGTGTGATCCCTCCCCCCCAAAAGCAAACAGAAGTCTAACTTGTGTTGATTATGTACTCACGGGATCATATCCAAACTCCCAGCGGCCATTCCCTTAAAGGAAACGGAGTCCTCCCAACCCCCAGCCCTGCCAGAAGCCGTCAGTTGTGGAGCTGCACTTCCTCATCCTCACATCCTAATTACAAATTTCAGGGGAGGGGCTTGAGACAGGGTTTCTTTGTATAGCCATGGCTGTTCTAGAACTCACTCTGTGCCTGCATGTTTCGCAAGCATTCTGGCTTCCATAACCAAATGTAATGGGTTTGCATCTTGGTGCTTACAAAGCCAAAAGAGCATGACCAAGACTCAAGAGTGGAGAGGAGTCCACTGACTGCCATACATGTGTAAAACCCCAGCTCCGAGGCACCCATATAGAAAGTCAGGCACCCTGCCTGTGCTATAACCCCACCCCCAGGAAGAGCAGTGATAGAAGGGCAGGGATGCTGGGGCTCATTGCTCCCAGACTAGCTGGGAAAATGAGTCCTGTGTTTAGGGAGAGACCTTGCCACAAGGGAAAAGATGAGGATAAAGGCACACACATCCACACATCATCTTCCTTTTATTTTGTGTTCTTGGGGCAAAATCTCACTATGTACCCCAGGCTAGGCTCCTAGGCTCACACTTCCAATCCTCCTGCCGCAGGTTCCCTAATTCTGGGATTACAATCATGTGTCTGCACACTACATGTTCTGTAGCCTTCTGGGTAGCTCCTCTATCAAGATTTTCCAAACCGCTCAGCTTTGTGTTTTGAGAAACAGCCCCGTTTCACTCACTGGGTGCCATAAGATTTAACTGAATCATGTGACACCATCAACCAGCATATTCAGTATCGGGAATCCTTTAACTCTTGTTAGAAGAGAAGATAAGATGATCTTGTCAACTTCCAATATCCAGGAGGATAAATACATGTTTTTCTTTGGGTTCACCTTCTTATTTAGCTTCTCTAGGATCACGAAACTATAGGCTCAATGTCCTTTGTTTATGGCTAGAATCCATTTATGAGTGAGTACATACCATATTCCTCTTTTTGGGACTGGGTTATCTCACTCAGTAAAGTGTTTTCTATTTCCATCCATTTGCATGCAAAGTTCAAGATATCATTGTTTTTTACCACTGAGTATAACTCTAAAGTATATATGCCCCACACCTTCTTTATCCATTCTTCTATTGAGGGGTACGTAGGTTGTTTCCAGGTTCTGGCTATTACAAATCGTGCTGCTATGAACATAGTTGAACAAATGCTTTTGGACCGCGAGGGGTGCGTCCACCCACTGAGACAATGGGGCTGATCTAATGTGAGCTCACCAAGGCCAGCTGGACTGATGCAGCATGTGATCAAACTGGACTCTCTGAATGTGGCTGACAATGAGGGCTGACTGAGAAGCCAATGATAATGGCACTGGGATTTGATTCTACTGCATGGACTGGCCTTGTGGGAGCTTAGTCTGTTTGGACGCTCACCTTCCTAGACCTGGATGGAGGGGGGAGGACCTTGGACTTCCCACAGGCCAGGAAACCCTGACTGCTCTTAGGACTGGAGAGGGAGGGGGAGAGAGAGTGGCGGGAGTGGGAGGGAAATGGGAGGAGGTGGAAATTTTTAATAAATAATTTTTAAAATAGTGTAGGTAGGAATAGAAGGACATTCGCGTCTAGAGGGTGGTATTCAGACTTCAGCCTGTATACTGTGCAAAGGTAAAAGAAGTAACCATTGTAATTCAGCTTACCGGAAGTTAGAACGGAGACCTGTTAGCATGGTCTGTGCCCCTTGGACACCCTGTCATGAGAATGTAAGTGGCACGAAGGGGTGACACTCCTGTCACATATGCCATGGTAGCGCCTGGCCCTGAGCACACTGTGTGTCTACACACATGAGTAGACATGAGATGCTCTGGAGTCTTCAGCTCTTTCCCTGGCAAGTTAGGCATCTGCAAGTGGTCACAAACATGGCTTTGTAACACACCTTAAAATGTAACACACCTTAAAAATCATATTCTACAACACAGGGCTACACACACACACACACACACACATACACACACACACAAAAAAAAAACCCTGTCCTGAAACAGTATCAAAAAAGAGAAATAAAAAGAATGTATCCCTTTGAAAAGAATCTTGCTTTCTATACTACTATTTATTTTAATTTTTTTTATTTCTCTGTCTGGGTATGTATGCTGTATGTATGTGGCTGCCCTCGGAGGCCTGAAGAGGGTATTGGATCCTCAGGAGGTAGAGTAACAGGTAGATGTGAACAACCCAGCATGGGTGCTGGAAGATAGATCATGTCAAATTGAAAATTAAAACTGCCACACTCAGCTACATATAGAATGTAAGGCCAACCTAAAAACTCTACCTGAAGAAGCAAAAACTGAGGAGGAAGAGAAAGAGGGAAAAAAGGTAGAGAAAGGAGAGGTGGGGGAAGGGGGACCAGTGTTGGGTCAGGGATAGAGGTGGGTATGTTGGACTAGATGTCCAAACATCTGGGAGGAGTTGCTCCAGACACCACTCACACAGGCGCAATCGATGCAAAAGCAAGAGGATTTTTACTTTGTCATGACAGGGTCCTTCAGGTTCGGGATATGAAGGACCCCCGATAGCTGTTACAGTCCATCTTTTAAAGCGAAAAGCCACAGACATGGGGGGGGGGACACCTGTAGGTTGTTTTCCAACTTATTGGATTGGCTTCTTTAAAGGGTTACTAGCAGTGATTGGTCTATTCCAGGGCAGGAGAATAGCTGCGTGGTCAGGTGATAAGGGAGAGCATCTGTGGTCCATCCTGACCTTGGTCCAGTGACTAAATCAATGCATCAGGAACTGAGTCAACATCTGTGGGTTGTCTTTGCCTCAATTCCAAGAATGGAGTTATGTTTGAAGATTATTCACAAGGACACAGGAGGATAAGCAGTCCAGAATGTGTGGTGGTGGGGGGGGGGGCGACTGTCCCTTTTCTAAGAGTGAGTGTAAGGTTTTAGAAAAATTTCTTAGGATTGAGGGGGCTTACAAATGCATTTAAAGTCTTTCAGGTGTACATACAACATCTGATAGATCCATGGGGTCCATCGTCTTTCTATCTGTTCATTTATTTATTTCTTTATAAAATTTGTTTCTTTCTTTTTTTGAACTTGCTCTGTAGACCAGGATGGCCTCAAACTCACAGAGATCTGCCTGACTCTGCCTCCTGAGTGCTGGAATTAAAGGTGTACACTACCACTGTGCCTGGCTATCTGCTCATTTCTTGTTCTGTGTCAGAGTCCGCTGGTCTGAGATAGTGTCTGTGGAATCCCTTTATGGTGCTGTTGGGCAGTCATGTTGATTGACACTATAGGCAAAAAAAAAAAAAAAAAAAAAAAGCAAATGCTTACCCAGAAAGAACAGAACATTGCCTTCGTGGGGTGAAGGGATCTCATCTATTCAACTTGCCTATGCTGTGATTTGTATACTCTGGAGAATGGTGCCCTGTCGTTCCTAATGGATATTTGGGTGGTGGTGGTGGTTTTTGTTGTTGTTGTTGATTTTTGTTGTTGTTTTTGTTGTTGTTTTGTTGTTGTTGGGAGGAGCTCCCTACCACACAAATATTCTCCTCATTTGGGAGGACTCCAACAACAGTGAGCGGTCAGGCTTCAATTCCTGTTACAGACGCCAAGGAGAAGAGTATTAGTCATTGTAGCTACAGCTATGGAGTCAAGGTCCCAGAATTCAATGTTGGGAAAGTTCTGCATTTTAGCAACAGTGAGAACACAGTTGATTAGCCATGAGTAGCCATGGCGACAGCATCCGTGTTTAAAGTCTTCTCTTGCTTCCTGCTGGGATTGTTGGTGATGATTTTTTTTTTTTTGCATGTGTGTGGCTTGCTTTTGTATTTGTTTTGTTTTAAGACATGTCTTACTATATAGCCCACACTCACAAAAGTCCTACTGCCTGGGCTTCCTAAATTCTGGGATTACGCTTGTGCCCCATACTTCTGATCTGGAGTTTGGGTCTCTAGTGGTTTTTATTCTAACACTTCCAATGACTCTTTTCCCTAAGTTGTCCAGGGTCAGTGTTTGGTCCCAATATTACAGAATCTGAACAAATGTGTACCGTTCTTTCAATGCTACTCAAGCAGTTGGCTTGGTAGGTAGTGCCAGGCAACAGACAGACAAAGCTATTGACCATTGCTCTAGAAAGACAGATACACAGGCAAAGCCCGAGTAAGTAGTATGAGAAATTCACTCACAGGACAGCATACACATAGCCCAGCCAGTTGGGGAAGCTCCTGGCTGAAAGAGAGGCCATTAAGGCTCACACAATCCACTAACCTGGGCTCCCAGGGGCTCCCAGAGACTGATAACCAGGGAGCCTTGTGAGACTGACCTAGGCTCTCTCCATACATGCTACGGTTGTGTAGCCTGATCCTCTTGTGTGACTCCTAACAGCAGGAACAGGAGTTGTCTCTGATTGGTTTTGGGGCCCCTACTTCTCATACTGGGTCACTTTGCCCAGTCTTAACACAAGGGAAAGTGCTTAGTCTTACTGCAACTTGATATGCCATGTTTTGTTGACACTTATAGGAGACCTACCCTTTCCTGGATGGAGAGAGGAGTGGAAGGGATTGGGAAGTGGGAGAGGGGAATGGGGAAGAGGGACTGGAAAGGGAGGATTGGTGGGGGAGGCTGTGGCCAGAATGTAAAATAAATAGATGAATTAAAGAAAAAGAGAGAGAGAGAGGCCTTGAATTATGTCAGAGGCAGGAGGCCTTGAATTATGTCAGAGGCAGCTGGTGTGGATATTGTGGTAACCAAACAAGTTTGCCCATATTTGCCCCATTTTGTTTGTGAACTCCAGGGAGCACGGTCTATCTAATGGGAGCCTTGTGCTCATTCAGCCACCTGACCGTCGCT